CAGGTGAAGATTGCTGATTTTGGACTAGCAAGAGAAATTCGTTCTCGGCCTCCATACACCGACTACGTGTCCACAAGATGGTGAGTCCCTCGTGTGTTTTCTCTGAGGGTCTGATCATATTCTTGGTTCTTGAGAATTGATAGCAGTCATGGAACGTGACATGTATTCTTTGGGGAATAAGATTGAAAAAATCCTGTGTTGGAAGGGTTTCTGGTTTGGGTGAGTGTTGGGATTGGAATGTGGTAAACAGTAGGTGTTATGATTATTTTAGAGTGGTATAAATGATGGAAGCGGATAGGAGTGGTATTGGTTGTTGTATGAATATAATGGGAAAAATGGGAGTTGTATAGATAATGGGGGGGGAAAGTTGTATAATGAAAGGGGTGAGAGTGATATTAATAATGGAAGTGATGGGAGTGAAATAAATGACAAGTGTGAGAGGAGGACTGGATAACAGATGGGGATGAGGCGGATGTCAACTTAACTCCCAGCAGTTTTGCATATTTTGGCTTTTTTTGGTTTGTGTCTCAGGGGTCCTCAATACCCTCCAGCGTCCTGCAATAATCTATCTGCTCCAGATAGACCTATTATTTACCAATGGAAAGTGAACTAAATGGTCTCCCAGACCTAGCCAATAGATTTCATTTTTGTAAAGTTTTCTTGAGGTGTGACCTATTTTTGTTACTGAAAATAAAAACAAATTTAACAGAAATCACCCTTCCCCAACAATCAAAGAAGGGAAAAAAGTGCATTCAGAATTTAGAGTTTACATTTATTTAATGGAAAAGTACATTCAATTCTGTATATTATGTGCCAAAGATACACTGTTCCGTTAGAAAATAAAGAAATGAGAGCCATTGTAGTCCATCCTACAAATCACAGTTATTGCCCTTGAAGCTGGGAATTTCATATCATGATTTCTTGCTCTCAAGCCTCCTGCAATAATCTATCTATTCCTGGTAGACGTATTATGTACCAATGGAAAGGGAATTGGATGGTCTTTCAGACCTAGCCAATAGATTTCTTGTTTGTCAGGCTCTCTTGAGGTGTGACCTATTATTCTTGTCACTAAAAATAAATGCAGAAACAGAAACCGGACTTTCCCAACGATCATAAAGAAGAAGGGGAAAAAAACCCTGACTCTCACTAGGAACATTTTAAAAAGCTGTATCTGTAATTTCGTATTCTACTCC